CAACTTATTTCAAATACACATTTACAGTATCCCTTTCTGTGAATCTCTTGTCTGCCTCTTTAGACTGAATATGCTCCAAGAAAATGTACAGTAAGCAAAGCCCATTTTTCACAAGGGAATTGCCAGTCAGTTTGGCTAAGTTAATTATAAACAAATGCGGATCTGTGTTGAGAAGGTAAGCTTCAAAAAATCAAGTGTTTATGCATATTAATAATTAAAAAAAAAAAAAGTAGAGGGCCAGGACAAAATGCATAATAAAATTAATTTACAAGGAAAAAATGGCAATGCATCTCCATAGATATTTAGATATCTCCATAGCTACTTGATGCTTGATAGCATTATCAACCCAGTTTAGTAGCTAACAGAGCCCACATACCTCCCATTTGTAAGAAGCCTTCTGAAAAACTTTGTAATAAGGCATGACTCAATCTTTAAGCAACTGGGGACAAAAAAACGCAATCAATGCCAAAATACGTTTTTGTTAGCAAATGCATTTGTTGGGTTTATTCCTGACATATTCTTGAAACCTCAAAAATGCAACACACTCATTTTGCAACAGACACATTGTGCACCATTTTTCAACCTTTTCCCTTTTTTTCTTTTCTTTATTTTTTAAACTACAGTTCAGTTATGTCCTTCACCCCACCCACAAATTAAGGGTTTATTATGGAAATTCTGACAAAGCCTTTGCTATAGTGTTGCTTGCAGGCACCCTCACGATAAATATTTTACTATTTAATGACTCCTGATGTAATCACAGCTGGAGTCATATTCACTAACATCAATCTTCCTATTGTTATTCAGGAGGAAGAAGATGATAGAGAAAAAGCATGCTTGTCTGAGGCCATTTTTTTTAGCTCCCAACATTAAAATGAGTGTTTAAATTGGTAAAAAGTTTACCACCACAATCCAACCCTTACATTTGTTTATGTTGGATGATACTTTTGTTCTGGCTTGCATTAGTCAGATGAATAAAGCTCAGAAGGGCTCTGCTTTACTGCCCTGTTTTCTCTTAGTGTTTCTGCATTTTTTAAATGCTACCAAATGGTTGCTTTTGGCTCCCAGCATTATCACATGTTGCTATAAGTATGGAAATAGTTATGGTAATATGGACGTAAATCATAACTGTAAATACCACATAAAGAAGACTGCCATATAATTAGAAAAATACCTAATAGATTTCTTTTTCAAAGACAACACAGCTGTCCGTTCTAACCTTTCATTTGTAGATTCTTTTCTCTCATGTTTTTATTTATAGTTTTCTGTGCAGTTTGACATAGCGTACCACAATTTTTGTTTCTGATTTTGAAAAGAAAAGAAAAAGAAAGAATACTCATTTCATCATAAAGAGGCATTAGTTTACAATTTTAAAAAGAAACTAACGCCAGCTCTAGAACATCATCTTGGAAGCAATCTCTCTTTTAATACATTTCAAAAGAATCTGTCAATGGCTATCTACCACAATTTAAAATTAAACCCTGCCATCGAATTAAAGAAAGGGTCGGCCAAATGGCACATGTCATGTGTTGGAAAAGAAGCCCCATTCTTGTTCCAAATGTCTCAGTGTTTTTATGAAAAGAACCACAATAGGCTATTATCCCGCCCACAACAATATATATATATATTTTATCTTGGAGAAAAACAGGTTGAAAAGTGCTATGGATTAACTTGCACTATGCAACATGCCCTGTCAATGAAAAAAGTAAGGCTTTTGGCAGCACTGATATTGCCAAAAGAGGTTTTACATATTGTCTGGAAACTGCCACCATACATTTCATCCTTTTCTAATCAGCTTGGGAATGATTAAAGTGATACAAGTGCATGTCAACCCTCTTCTACGTCAGACTCGCACTTGTTTCACTGCATGCTGACATTTGCCTACCTATTTATTGCTACCTTAAGCTTGCATACAAAGCCCTGAGAGACACAAAAGAGAGGCTGCAGACATCAGTGCTTGTGCAAAATGAATAGGAGGCTGCTCTCTTTGACTCTTTGAAACATCTTTGCCTCAAAGCAACCACTTGAGAGATTTACATCTACGTGGCAAACCCCACATTTTAATCCAAATGTCAGGAGACATTTCAAGGGAAGGAATTTTATTTTAACTATCAGAAATACACAGTTCTCTATCTCTCATCGTCTCAGAAAAGAGAGAAAAACATAAGAATATGGCTGTATGCAGGACAATACACAGTTCTCAGTGGGTGAATTATGTTCCGATTCCCTTTTTAACTATGCAAACAGCTAAAACCCAGAAAACGCTAGAGGGAAAGATCAGTCTGGACTAGAAAGATACTAACTGCTTATTGGCACACATTTTTTTTTTCTTTTGCAGATGAAACATTTGAATCTGTGCTGCATTTTTATCAGTCTGCGCCAATTGGCCTTTGTCCAAAAATGTGTCATTTTATTAGATGTGTCACTTGCCTGGGAGGCTGCCCTCACTACACTGGGTGACTGAATGTTAAAATAATTTCTCCAGGGGAAAGAAGCTGATCCCAAAGGTTTTCTAGTTCCAAGGGAGAGATCATTTTTCACCACCAGCTGGAGCTTGATGTCAGACATGTCCTTGCTTCTTTATTCTGCTCAAAGGTTGAAGCCCGGCTTGTCCTTCCTGACTCCAATATTGTTTCACGTTTGGGCACATAGCAGCTACTGCACAGTGAACTGTTAAAGCAGGAGAGCTCTTGCAACATGGGAAAATGGTTTAGGGGAAGCAGTTTGACAGCAGGATGTGGTCATTTCTATTGTCCTTTTAAAATAGGAATATCTGGGAAGCTTAACTTTGTTTTCACTATGTAAACATGTATATTTTAGCCCTATGTGCCAAAAAATGCAAGTGCACACAAACACACACAAACCTCACACAAAACAAATTTTTGTCCTCCTAGTACAGTATCTGCTTTCTTGACAGAACCAAGTCCTATGCACTTAAAAGAAGACTAATTTGTACTGAAAGAATAAATGCTCTGAGTTCTGTGTGAATTGGACTCTAGTGTTTTATTTTACATTTGAAGTTAGATTGGAAAACAAGGAAGCTGCAGAGATTGAACATCTTTCATAATGCCATTTTATGAAAATATCTTGATGCATTCTTATTCTCTTCTACTTCTTTTCTCCAGAATAATGAATGTAGTGATAGAAATCACAGGGTCCCATACAATATGCATCTAGTTAAACTACTACAGATTAACTCTTCAAACAGGATTGTGGCTAAGCCTTGCCTGCACAGATGCTTGAAACCAAACTTGCAACAACTCTATTTAGATTATGCTTAAATGACCCTAAAAGGACTATACCTTTTTTTTTTTCATTTGACTGATGTTCCAAGAACACTGAAATCCATACTATAGACTGGTTATCACATGTCTGAAATAGACACTAAACATGATAAATCCAAATGGTATTATTTTATCATCTCTAAGCATTTACACTGAAGCAGCATCAATGATCATGATAGACTTTTGGAATTAGCTTCTAACAGGTTTAAGTTGTAAAGGCAGAGCAGCTATCTGCAATTTATTGAACTGAAGCAGCTATCAGAATTTATTGAATATACAATCATCTCCTGTACCAGTTCTCCTCTTACACCAAAATACTTCCACAGGGTCAAAGTTAAGAGTTTCAAATTGAACGTTATCAAAAAAACAGCATGGCCCTAAAGCTGGACCAGTGCCAGACACATTAATAACTTTCTAACCTCCCTTCTTCAGAAATATGGAGCAGTTAGGAGACCATGAACAACTGCTTCAGAGAAGCAATAAGGATTTACAATGCTGGTAATATTTCCCACACAAAGTAATCAAAATTATCATAGATAATTTTATTGCAAAACTTTCAAACCTGTATTGTGGGTTTCTCTATATGGATCTAATAAAGACATCCAAGTGAAGCAGTGGTGTGACTTTAGAAAATGTACAGAAGTTAGATAGCTATATCCCTTTTGAAATGAATTAAGACACTTTCACTTCAAATGAGAGTGTTCACACAGGCGACCAATGAGCTTTAATAGTTAACTCACATTAGTATGTCTATGAAGATGGTTCCTTGACATTGTCCAAGAAAGCTAAAAGTCAAAGTTGTTCTATTCCTTAAAACCGCAATCTTGAGTATTTCCAATGCTGATATAAAAAATATCAGTAGATACTTGGGGAGGGAGGAAGGAATTTTATTTAATTTATCTTTCTGTATTTTTCAAGATGGACTTCAAGAATAATGAAAGACTTCTTCCCTTTCCTTTTGCCAGGAAGCAGATAAAATAAAACTTGCATGATTAATCTGAGAAGAGGTGCCACTTTTCTAGGGACAGACATGCCTTCAAGACAGTTAAGCAAAAAAAAAAAAAAACCAAAAAAAAAACTAGAGAAACGGATCTGTTCTTTAAAGCCAACTTTTGTTATCACTTGAATGAGAAAAACTCTTGAGGATGTAATAAGCCTGAAACAATAGGGTCTCTCTGGTCTTTGGCCTTTCGGTAAACATCTATGCAATTCTAACTGAAAACAAAGATGAACAAATTCTTGGAGAGAAGAAAGTGGGGTTGAGGAGAAGGGCAGAACTGATGTAGGGATAATTGTGCAGGAGAAAACTATGCAGTAAGGGCAAGGAACCTCAAGATTATTAACTCTGATATCAGCTGTTGCTTCTTGCGAAGACTCTTGATAATGGCCTTTCTGTTTAGTTCTCTGATCTTGGTATGACAAACACCTTGTCAGTTCATGGTATGTATCTACAAGACATGTGTGACTTGGCCTTAACATGACAGTTGTTCTATATTTTTTTTAATTGAGAATCAAATGTGTATGGCAGGTAAATGGTTAATGCTGAACAACATGTACATGATACACCATTGACTCTTTTACAAAAATTAAGATATTATTCTTTATTATGTTTCCCTGTAATTCTAAAGTAAATCATGCCAAGATACTATCTTGCAGGTCTGTAGATCAGATATCATTACACAGAAAAAAAAAAAGAAAAAAAACCTTTTATGCACTTACCTTATCCTCTAGTCGGATCAGTCTGGCTCCTACAGTATAGTATCCTTTGTCTACCCCTTTTTCTAAATTAAAAAAAAAAAAGAACTTAGATGGAAAATTAACTCAAAGAATGATATCTAGTGTGTCTAGCCCTGCTTAAAAGAGACTTGGTAAAATATTATAGCAGTATATACAATATCAACCTAACAAGAGTAAAAATCTTCATTGAACTCAGAAGTGAAAGAAAGTAGTGGGCAAGGAGGGATTTAATTTGTCTACCTCACATGCCTACATTAAGAGTCTAAACTTGGTCTTAGAAGCAGGCAGCCCATGGACACAAATGACTAGAAAGAGTGTTGTAGTTGATTTTATTCCTTGTTTAATTATCTCATTTAGCTGCATTGAGATAAATGAGATGGCTGCTTTAGGTGGAACAGATATGCTGTGTGGGTATAACCTCCTTTTTTTTTTTAATATCATTTACATAGCATGTGCAATGCACACTATCTATCAATAACTATAACATACACATATAAAATAATTATCCCTTCGTGATGGCCTTGCAAACAAGTCACACTGGGAAGAGCTTTCACTTCTTGATCCTAATGTCACCTTCCAGCTTTTATGACACCTGGTTATTTAAGTCCAGTTATTCAATTTGTTTTACTCATCCTCTGTGAATTGTGGGATTGGGACCCAGAAAAGAGAGTGGAACAAGTTTTGATTTATTCTTTTTGTTTACTAAACCTATTACAAATTAATACCTGATCTAGGGGTGTTCTTCTGCAGGAAATGAGTCAAAATAATACATCTATTCTGAGAAGGGAAAAATATTCGTAGGAAAGAATATAACAAATACTTAAGTGACTTAGAAACTTGTGTCGATGGTACTTGGAAGCACTTCTACCTACTAACCTATTTTTTCAATAACAGGATAGATTAATTGCTTCTTGTTTTTTATTTTTCCCATAAATAATTCTGGGTTTATGAGTGAGCTTTTTTTAAAAGCTATTTCAATCCATTTTGCACAGGTCATGAACACAACATGAAGAAGGGTTTATGGGAAAGAAGGTTGGTATGTGAATTTACAGTGTATCAGCTTCTACAAAAACTGCCCATCCACATGCTGATTTGCAGTTCAGGTTCTTGCATTACGCTGTGGACGTTGCTTGCTTTACAGTAAGGAGGGTATACTACATGAGACAAAATTAGTATATACTTTTACTAATTTTTGGTGACACATTTGCACCAATGTTCATCTGGAGGTAACCCAGATTATATGCACCTGATCTTAAAGAAAGACCCTAGTGAGAAGCAATGCTGGCAGAGCACCCTTTTTACTTTTTCTTCCTCCTCCTCTATAGGCCATCCAGAAATCTAAAACAGTTATGTCCTTTGCCAGCTCCTTTTTCAATAGCAGAAATGTTTTATCAAAGCATCTGGAGAAATAAATTCCATAAACAGACACAATTTGAAGATTGTTCAAGGACACCGTGAGAGGACAGAAATAAATGACACAGCTTGGCTTGTGCATGTGTCCTCCTCATCATTCATTAGTTCACAAACTCAGAAACCTCTTAAAATATGATGGGGTAAGTCTTGAGTTTGTATTTGTCTGTGCCTAAAAGGAAATAATTGACTCTACGATCTACTCTGTAGTTCATAAATCTGCAGAAACTTCATCTTTCAAAGTGCATTTAAGAACAACCATGCATATATTTGTGTTTAAGATTTCCAACCTGGAATGTGATTTGCAGAGGAATGACGAGGCAGTGTTTCTGCTTAGGTCTAAAACAACTTCCCCCCTTGCTCCCCTCACCCCAAAAGACAGAACCAAACTAAACACTTTCTAAAAACTAAAACGAACTAAACACTTTCTTTTTAAGTGTCACATACTCTAATAACATCCTCTATATATTCACCAAGAATTCTGAAAGCAATCAAAACAAATTATCAACACTTTTTACTATTCTATTACAAGTAAATTAAATAGTAATTTACTATTACTATTTTGCTATTCTAAGATGAGACATGGAGTGGAAAACAGGAGAGCAGGAAGCAGACAAGCAGTAAAAAGCTGTTTTGTGCTATGTGACAGAGAACATGAAAAGCATGACGAATATTCATGTTGCTGTGCATGTCCACAACTTTACTGTATGCTGTATAACTGAGAATAAGGCTGTGCTCTTTCCCACTTTTCAGACCCCATTAAGATCGGCATTTAACTCTAATTTAACAGTATATTCCTTTAATAAAGAATGTCTTAAATGAACAGGCTTTGCACTTGCTGTGCCGAGTGTTGTGAATTGCTCTTATACATTTGATTTCTATCTTGACTTTACATCTTCTTTTGATTTCTTTTTCAAGATACAAGATACTAGACTTCCTACACTGGCTTATTTGGTTTTAGATATTTGAAAAGATTGAATGCCTTACGATAAATCTGAAATGTCATAATTATTTGATCCTTTGCTTTGAAAAAATAACTTTTTTTTAGTGCTGATTCTTGTTTGTGTTGATTTGCATTAACTGAGTCATTTCTGAGTTAGCGATCCAATAACAGTGCACAAACACAAGGAAGCATTCATGATCACTATAGGAGAAGCTACATTTAGCAAAAACAGAATGAAGAAACACATAGACAAATTTTAGCTCAGTAGGAAGAAAACATCCTGAAACCCAACATATATCACATGGTTGCTATGATATAAAACTTCCATTTTGCATATTTAGATTTGAACCAGGTAATAGACTAGAATATTAAAAAATGAGACTTAAAGAGACTGAATAGTTCTGGGTCATCTAGTCTTGCCTAATATATACATTTTTCCCCTGAAGGCCTACACTTTCCAGCATATACATACTATACTATTCCCAAAACAATATGATACTGTACTTATTTCTTAATATATTCACAAAGGTGAGGTATATCTTTTCTAGTGATCATAATGAGATGACTCTTGTCTAAAATCTTAAAACTGAACAATCTCCACGTTAATTGAGAACAGAAGAAAGGTCATCATAAACCATTCCCCAAATAGAAGCACATGAAATAAATGACATATTACTGGTTATTCAGTTTTGTTATCTTTTATGAAAGAATAGCAATTGTAATCTGAAATGAGTTCAAAAGCAAATTAAATGAGGGATAGCACTCTCTCTCTCTCTCTCTCTCTCTATATATATATATATATGTATACTTTTTTTTAGTTAATTACTGTGTTGCATCTCATCAGAATATGTTCAACTTCTGAGAAAAAAAGATTTTTTCCTTGGTTAGAAAAAATACTTACGGGGAACATTAAGACAGTAAATGAATTGTTGCCAGACAGTCTGAAAATGATAAAAGCTGGAAACAATCATCTCCTCTACTTTTACAGAGAAAGATACCATCCTTGATTTTTAGTCTTATGATGCATACAGCTAGAAATGTAGTATGTCAGGATATTTTAAAATCTACTTAAAAACTTTTTGTTTACACTGGAAAGTGAAGAATTTGAGTTTTGTGACCCTAGGAACTTCCAGGTTTCTAAAGATAGCTCAAAATCTCGGGAAATTGTATCACATACCAGATTGGGACCCCAGGAACTGTAAAGGGGTAAGAGATACCACCACCTTTCTATGTCTATCTTGATGTTGCTGAAAACTCCTGGACCTATATTTGTACTGATTTTTATTGTGTAAAATTCTGTGTAGGAAAATACTGTGATGAGCTTATGGCAAAATCTATATTTCTGTGTTTACAAAGTGGGCATTCTTCAAACATGTCAGGATTATCTTTTTAAACCTAGAGCTGATAAAATAGCAAATAATAATGTTGCCTTAGGTAACATGAATTTTGATTGAGTTTCTTTTCTTGTCAGACAGAGCCTGTTACAAATGACAGACAGAAGAGATTAAAAAGATGGATCACTTAAATTCTGTATCAAGCTTTTTTTGAATTCTCTTGGCCAGATTAAACCACTAAAGTATTTTTAGGTTAGAAGTCTATACTGAAATACAGAGAATGTGTGATAAAATTTTCAGTTATGAAGCTTCTTCAGTACAGAGTGAAAGTATGAATTTAATTTTTTTCAAGATGCAAAATTCTAGCTGCCATCACAGTGAGTAACTTTCCAAATCAAAGAGATAGAACTTCTTTTGATTTAAAAAAAAAAATTGATTTTTTGATTCTTTTGATTTTTTTAATTTTCATTTATCCAGCCTTTGAGATGACACAGTTTACTCAAGCAGAGGAATCTGGAATTTTATAATATCTGGAATTTTATAAGTAAAATCTGGAATTTTATAAGTAATATGCTAAAGAGAAATTGTAAATAATGAATCCCCATCTAATTTCTGTGGCATTTAGTCACAGAATCAGATAGTAGCTATAAAATAACTAATCCAGCAAATGCAATATAAAATAAAAGCTTAGTTCGTAGCTTTTTCTTAAGAAAGAAATTCACTGATGTGAGGAATACATAAACAAGCAGTATTTTAGCAAATTAAGTAGTAAATCAAAATTTTAGTAGGTTCCAGGGCCTCAGAGTGGAATAGATGTGATATTCCTGCGGGCTGTGAACTGAGATGGGCTATCCTCAGAAACAAAACCAGCTTTTAGAGACAAGACTGTAAACAGCTGACAGCTACAAAAAATGTGCTTGTTCCTAACAGCTTTTATTTTGGGGGATCAAGTTCTCTTTCATATTGTCTTTGGAAGGGATGGAATAAACTATTTTCTGCAGAAATGTGGATCTCTCTCATTTGAGATATTAATCCACCTTTAAAAATAAAATTAAACAAAGTATATTTATTACGCTTTCAAAGATATTATGTCACAGTTTTTCCCTACTGGTTCAGAAGGCAAGAGCATCAAAAAGCTTAGGTGGCATTTAACAGAAATAAAGCAAACAATAGAACTATCAAAAACTTTACTTGAAAGCCTTTTTCTCCAGGGATGACTACCTGTGTTCAGTAGACTTACGAGGTTTAAAAGAACTGATGATAGACATCAGTCCTTTGAATATTTTTTGAACCCAGACACTAGATCTTTTGTTTTATCTTGGCATTATTCTTCACCTCTCTTCCTAGAAAGCTATAGCAAGCCTCAAAAATTGCATTCAAAAACAATTAACTCCATCAGATGTAGCGAAGGCCAAGTATGATACTCTTCCTATTTGTATCTTTATATAAGTGTTTCCTTGTTTTAGAAAAGTTATTAATATATACTTTATCTCTATGCCAATCGTTTCAGTTATTAGAGGGTTTGTTTATTAATAGGGAAATATTTATTTCATTTTACAGGCTTGTGTGTATTATATGAAGTACTGATACAAACAATGTAACATAGTATACAAAAAAAATGCAAGTTAAATCAGCAATCTTCCTGTCCCATTATACTATGAATGGTAAAAGTCTTCATGTGATTCAGAGGAAAATGGGAAAGCTTGTTGAGGACAAACCAGCAAGGGCTACTAAACTCACAGAGAGCATGCTAGGAAGTCTCTGATTTGCATATAGTTGGAAGCTAACATAAGGTTAGACTCTTTTACATGTTCTTTTCTTCCACATTTCCCAAAGTACCTCACCATTGGTTCCATCAGACGCAAGACAGTTCTGACCAGAATAGCTGTTCCTACATCCTTGTACTTATTATTAATTTAATACTGCTTCTAGTGCTTTTTATCTTCGGACAGTTGACTTAAAAATAACAATAATCTCTTCTAGTGAATTCAGCTTCTGGATCTTTTATGACATCATTTATTTCTTAAAGGTAATAATGCTATAGACACACTGTAAATACTTCATATAATATTATCACAGTTGACAACAAGATTTCAGCAACAGACTGATCCAAAACCCATTGAGGTCACTGGAAAGATTCCCATTCATTTCAATAGGCTTGGAATAAGACCTTAAGATTTTTTGACTAGAGTATAATAAAACACACACACACAAAAGGAGTTGGAAAGGAAAATTCTTCTCATTTTTCTCCTTGGTGGTTTAATTTTTTTTTAGCATTGTCATTTCTCTTTTGCTTGCCATCAATACAAAAATAACATAGTCCGGGAGTAACACCCATACTACTTATAAGTGAGGTTTTCAGCAATGTCTTTGAACTGGGAAAAATATATCATACTGAAAATAAGTTTTTGAAGTAGAATTGGCTATCCATTCTGAGAAAAACTCAGCAAGGTGGACAGAATTACAGTCTATTACCACCCAAAAAGACCAACATGATAACCTTTGATTATTGCTGAGTTTGATAACACCAGGAATAATAGTAAAGTAAAACTAATTTTAATTCTGCATCCATTTATCTTATTCTTGGATTTGTGGAGGATTTAGCTAAAGTAACTACTAGATCAAATTACTTCTGATTTTGGTCTTGCAAATCCAGAGCAAAGCTTACCAGATTTTGCAGCTCAAGGAGTCATTTTACCTGTTCCCATCGGAATTTATTCTGACCTTTTGAGAGCAGACATATGATTTTGCAAGATGTATAGCTCTGTAGAATTGCTATTCTGTGGAGATAGACATCATTCCCAGAAGGGCCACTTTGTTTTTGCATCTGCTGGAGCCATCTCAAAACAGCTATTCAGCAGTAATGATATTGCAAGAAGACTAAAGGCTAATAGGTTTTGTATGTATGTGGGTTGCCCAGGGCTGAATCTATCACAGGTCACAGACACAGGGCCCAGCCTCAGTAACTGTCAGCTCAGTTCAACAAGTGAACACTTCTTTGAATACTTGCACAAATCCACAGATCTAAAATTCTCCCAATCCTTTTTGACCTAAGATTTGGCGACTAAACCTCCTGAACATCTTTAGCACAATCTCATCCCAAATCAGAGAGAACATTGAGGTCTCCCAAACTGCTAGGAAAATTACTCTCCAGTTTTAGCTTCTCTGCAGTTAAACACACCTCACCTCCGAAAAAAGAAGCTGTTTCATTAAAAATGTTTAAAGCACCAATGTTTTTGCACACAAATTGCAGTTCTAATTAAGTAATGTTAAACTAAAAATAAAACAATACATGCTTAAAGGCAGAGCAAAATTTCCCCATAAACCTAGCTTGCGCTGATCACATTGTGGAATAAATTCCCAAGCATATTACAGTACATTACAAAAAATGTACATAAGCTGACTGATTATTTTCCTGTGGTCACAAAACAGCTCAGCTACTGGGAAGGGTATTGTACCACTTAGTCTTTTTTTGCAGCATTCAGATGTTAAAAACCTCACTGTTTTTGGAAATATTCCATGTTCTCACAGCATAAACCATTTAAATCATTTTAAAGGTTTTGAAATAACTGTGGATCCCCTTAACTGTCAGTCCTATGCCGTAAGTATTTAAACTTGCTGGGGGATAAAGCATTTCAGCTCCTCAGTAATTTTTGACCATTTAGAGACATAGACCAAGACAGGGTTTTTGGAAAATTCAGGTCCATTTCTTGCTATAAAAGGTGATGGCTCCCTTCAACACAGCTCCATAGAAGGCCTCAGTTTTCTGTCCTCCCTATTTCTTTTTCATTTAGTCTTGCATAACTACATAATCAGAATTTTCACAATACTCCTATCTTACCTGAGTCTTGTGCAGTATACTTGTATACTTCTCTATATGTTTTGAAAATCTCTCTCCTGATCCAAGGATCAGACTCATTTTTTTTTAATGCATATATCACAGCAATTGCTTACAAATGCTTACATTGCATTTGTTCACAACTAATTAGCATACTAAGTCTTTCTTTTTCTCAGGCATGACAGACTGTTGATCCCTACCAGCATGTAGGAGATTTTTTATTAGTTTCCCCGCACAGGATAACTTTCAAGGTCATTCATTTCATCCCGAGTGATATCCTTGATCTTCCTTTGGGCTTTTCAGAACTTAAATTTGTAGATTGCTCAAAAAGAAAGAAATATTTTTATGTGGAATCAACATATATACTAATATTAGCTCAAAAGATTTAGAAAGAATATTGGCATTCCTTGGTAAGCTGTTTCTAGGTTATCATATGACGATACACATTTTAACAATTATTCTCAATTTCCATTTAGCTCACTAACACCTGAGTAAGATATTTGTCTTTCCACAGCTGTTCCAGGACCTATTAACAAAATTAAACATTAATTGACGTCTCTGTTATACATCTACTTTATTGTAGTAGCAGGTATTTTCACCAAGTTGTAAAACTAATCATTTTACATACCTGGGAGGAAAAGGCCTGGTTTTCCCAAGGAATGGTCCAATCTGAAAAGCAAATGAAAAAAAAATGCAACCAAACAATGTAAAGTTGGGAAGAGTACAGAAGCGTATGATACATGAGAAACTGCAGTAGCTTTAAACACAAAACAAAGCAGGTAAAAACTTTAAGCTTACATTATTTTTTGCAAATAATTATTTTTGCAATTTTCTTCTTTATAATTCTTTTTCTAGAATCAAGCCACATTATTGTGGTTGTTTTTATGAGCACTGGTATTTTACTTTTTTTATACTGTTTTTATGAGTCCTGGTATTTTATTTCTTTAATATTAATGTTTTGACTAAAAGATAGTTGTCCTGTATCATGTAATAATAAGACTATGCAAGCAGAGTATCTTCTTAATAACATTTGTAACTGTTCCTTGAGTCACATACAAGCAGATTTAATATCTTTAAATGTCGACACAGTAAACTCCATTCAATAGGATTTTTTTTTTCACTTACGGGCCAGAGGAACTGAATTAAGTGTCCTGGTCCACAGTGTTTATTTGTAAAGAGAAAAGCACTTTGTGTTGAAACAGAGGAGTATAGTTTTGTGGCACAATATTTCAGTGGTAATCCCCAAGCTCAGAGAAATTATTTGCAAAGAGGAATGTGGGAGGGGAAATACTCTGAAGAAAGAGAGGGGAGCACAAGTGAGACAGATTTCTCTCAACTGTGCATAACTGTGCAGAAAGGGGACAGAAAGGAAAACCATTATTTGAATTTTTTTATAATAATAAGACAGAGAACTCACTGTTCTTTATAAAGAGCTCTTTATAAAGTTTTTATAAACTTTATAATATCTACCTTAGTTTCTTCCAATTTCACTTGGAGGAAGAATGGAAGCAGATAAACAAAAATTGTAACCTCAGTCATAAAAAGGGTTAAAAATGTCTCTAAGTTAAATCCCCTGGATATTGCGCTCCCTGTTGTGCTTGCAATTTTGGACAATTACTGTTCATTAAGTACACATCTCTACTAAAGCCAGCTGGCACCAGAGAAATCAAATATTTCAGGAGGTAGACAGGGCCTACCTTCTTTGAAGTTCTTTTATCCGAACCATCATATTGAGGTGTCCCTGCGAGTACTGCTCAATCACATCGCGAACATCATATGGTTTCCGAGCTTGCTGTGAAGAAAGTCATACAAGAATTGAAAGGCAAGTCTAGTTCAAACTTTATTTCAGACAGACTTTCATTCTATTTTTCATGTTTTATCATGAAACATGATGGTTTGATGCTATTTTGCAATGGTCTTTGCAATGAATAAAAATATTGAGTCATTGTAGGAGAGCATATGTATCATGGAGACGGGGCCAAGTGATCACCATTACTGTCAGTTAGTCATGTCTTCATGCTAATTCAAACTGAGAAAAATATTAGACCTTCACAGTCTGTTTAAAACACATAAACCCAAGATATATAATTTATCTAAGATTATTATGTGTAATATCTCTCAGCTCATTCAAAAACCATGTGCTAATCATAATGTCAGAGTAGAGAATCACAGAGATAGGCCCAAACCATAATACTTTGATCTATAAAGAAATGCCTCCAAATGCTAAAGATGTATGGTGATGGAAGAACTATTGATTAAAAAAATGTCAGGACAACTGCTTTGCATAAGTATGAACATAGCTGCATATAGATTTTATTTGGAGTTTTTTATTTTTAATGATACCTACTATTTCAGAAAAAAAAAAGTACAATTCACATTGAAAAAAAGAAATTATTAAAACATAGAAAGGATCAAAAATCTGCCTAATTTGTCTAACTTTATTCCCATTCCAAGGCAAAACCAGATGACAAACTCCAGATGTTTCTTCTTATAATGACTAAGGCAAGATTTTAAAAAAGTTTGAGAATTTGCATAAAATGATGTGATTCTAAAATATCCACCATGAGAAAATAATATAAGATAAAAATAGTTGGGGGTGGGGGTAAACGCAAATGAGATCCTTTTGAACACACCAGCATTTTCAGAGCCATACCAATCTATAAGGGAAATGTGGGACAAGATGTCTCCCTTTTGGATCCAAATGAAGAAAAGAAGAAAAAGAAGATGGGGGAAAAAAAAAAGTAAAAAAGGTAAACTGCAAATCTAGTAATTAGAAATTACTGAAAACAGCTCATTAGTCATCTTGTTGTCTGTTTTCACTCTGTCAGGGCTTCAGCCAGAGCCATTAGCATGCACTGCTGCACACATGCATTGAACATCTACAGTATGTGCTGGAGTCATGCTTGGAAGGCGGCCACAGGATCCTAGAAATTTCAAATGAAAGCATGGGACTGGAATGGAAATAAATCCGGTGAAATGAATGAAGATGCAAAAGCTCTTCATGAAAAAAATGCTTTCCTTGTGCTTAGCCTGTCAGCACCTACCTACATTATATTTTCTGCTGAATTCATGGTTTTCGTAGCTTGTATGCATTTGTGTGTATTTGTCAGATGAGATAATTTTGGTGGACAAAACTTTCAACTTTCAATTTATGGACTATTTTTTTCTCTCTTTTTTTTTTTTTTTTTTTTTTTGCCTTCCCCAGCTTCACTTGCAGACGCTGACACATCACTATTTCGGGCCAGAAAAGCAGCCTATTGTCTTCTCCCAGAGAAACAGTGCCAGTATCACTCTTTCGATTGACTAGCAGGGGTGCTTTGAGAGTGTTTTGGCTAAATCCTCTGTCCTTTGCTTTGGACAATCTATTTAAACACGATGCATGGCGCAGAGCCGAGATGTGCTAGGGATTTTTCTCCACCTCCCTCCCCTCTCCCCCATGGGCTACTATGTGCATAATTAATTCTACTCATTCCCAGTAAAATTTCCTTTCTTCCTTTCAATAAGCCTCCATCTATTATCCCTTCTACCAAACCATCCACCCTGAATCTTCTGTTGCAAAGTACTGTACACTGAAGCCTGTGTCCTCTCTAATGCATAGCAAAAGTACCCTTCCAACTCTCCATTTTTCTCTCCCCCTTTCCCATAAACCTTTCTATCTGGACATTTTATGTCCTGCCAAACTTTGGCACATTCTCCACAAGTGTGTCTGAACTTAATACAATCTCTTGTCCCATTTTTTATTGAGAAATAGTGGGATGCACAATACAACTCAGGGAGGGATGTAATGGGCTTCCAGGGAGGTTTGGCAAATGTAGAACTTGATGAACTTATTTAATTCTCAGTCTGCAGAAGAATTCTTTTTTTCCCAAAAACATCTAACCTTGGTGATTGTTTTGGCTTAGCTTTCTACACCCTGAGTGTTTAGCACTCCTAAGGCAAAATTCAGAATAACATCCTGGTTCTGAAATTCATCATGAGCATCAGCTTACAGAAGCCTTTCCATAAAATGATTGAGTTCAGTTTTTAAAATTGGGCGTTACTGCTTTCCGAAAACTGCTCCAGTGTATTAGTCCTCTTGTTTAGATGTATTCTGATTTTCATCCCATCTCACTGCTATACTTGTTTTTTTTCCAGTTGTCTTTAAGGACAACTTTAAAGTGTTGTCTTTAATTTTTCTGTCTGTTTGTTTTTCATTCCAAATGATATTTCCTCCTTTAATAGTTAGGAGTCATTTAATTCTGTTAGACTGACAATTGCTGAGTTAACGAACAAAGCTCTCCTGGTTTTCTCTCATAAAAAAATGTCGTCTGAAGATACATTTATCCATGAGCTTGGGAAATGTCTCTGCTATAACTGTCAGCCCTAAAAAGTCAGTTGTCTGAGCACTGCAAGATCATATCAGATTTCTATCATCTCTTGCAGTTCAGTGCTCAATTCAAGACAAACTTGCTTGAAGTTACATGGAAGCAATAGGTGTTGTTAGTAATCAGGCCAGGAGATTGCTCCCTTCTGTGACCAGCAAACGGGTGATGATGATGATGAATCACATTCAGAATCACATTCCAAAATAGTTTTATTACAGTGGGCCTCAGTACACAGACAAAAGAAATCAAATTTTTCAGTGTAGCGGATACACGTCAAGCACTTTGCAGTCATCTGACTGAGAAATCTGAGTTGAGACTTGATGAAAACAGTACATTTCTAGAGAGTAGATGCTCCAAATTTTCTTAAAATAAGGCCTCTCTATGAGGTCTCAAGCTGGAAAAACAATGTAGAAATATGGATCACAAATGTGAAAGCAACTTTACATAGCATATTGCTGTGTGATCAGCAAGTCTACTGGTATATGAATAGAACAAAAAAATCAATAGAATATTCTCTAATTGGTTGATACTGTGGACAGTATTTTAGCAGAAACTTCAGCAGAATATTTTCTTCTTCTAGTAGATGGGCAAGATAATTATTTATAGATCAGTATAGTTAAGAGAATTAAAAAATGCCTACTGATTGGACAAATTTATAATGTTTGCATATAATGCTATACCTATGCACAGCTGATAGTTTCGTACTCACTAAATAACACCACACAAGGAAGGTATGAGGCTTGGAGCCTAAATAGTGCCTATGATTTATTACAACCATATGCTCAAAGACAAGTTCACTTTCAGAGCATTTTCAACATCCTAAACTTAAGCTTACAAATTGTACTTACGTTGGGGGTGCTGCTTACCTGAAATTTTCTTTTAGCTACGAAATATTGCATTCTTCTGATTACTTTTACAGCTGTTTGATGAGCTTCAGTTAATCTGCCAAGAAAGACAAACATAGATATACACCAATGAAAAAAAACCAACAAACAAACTATGGAGTCAGAAAAAAAAAATTCAATGCAAGATGTTGACTGTAAGCACCAAAAACTACAAATAAGTTATATGACTGCAGTGTAAAATTGTGTCATCACTCACGCGTATCTTTTTCCTGCTGTTTTACTCTCTATTACTCTAAGAAATTGATAAGGCAGACAACAGAAGCAGGTGTACAAAGAGAATAGGTGTGGAAGGGGATTAGATTAGACAGGATGACTGTCACTGCCTACAACTGGCATCATTTTGAAGAATGTGAAATGCTTTTAGAACCATGACTGAATTCCTTATTTTACTTTTATTGAGTGGTTGCCCATGAGCTCTATTGCACAGATATTAAGTCCTTCAAAAGCTGCTTTGATTCTTTGGGGAGAAAAATTAAAGTGTCATATTTTTAAAAAATATACTTAACACAGCAAACCCTTTGGGGATTTCTGTTTGTGTGTGTATGTGGCTGCAGTGGTACTTCAACACAGAACAGAATTCATTCTATTTTATCAATATAATTTCCCACAGAGGATACTGTATTTGTGCAGCTCCAGTTGTGCCATTTGGCTGGCAATGAGGAATAGCCTACCAGGCAATTAATTGCCCTCATCTTTGTAGTAAATTTGGGCCTTGGAGAGGAAATGAGGAAGTATGAATGTGGCAACTAAAAAAACAAGAATTTTGTTGAAGGACTTACTCCTTCCCAATGGACTTGTTCATTCATTCAAAATTAGTGAATTTTAAAGGAGAACGTTCCTCTAAAGGAGAAAAAAAAAGTGTTATGTTCAAAGTTCTCTGATATGTGACAATAAACCTACGAAAACTTGCCAGCAATTTTCACTAATCTGAAAACATAATCTGCCACTTCTTCCCAGTGTATCTGAGTGGGTAAAAGCAGTAATGGCCAGGTCACTTATTTGAATATTATAGTTCAGAGGTAAAGACTTTGAAAAGTGGAATGATCATAGTGCATTATTTCAAAGTGAAGAGAATAAAATTTAAACAAATAGGGAATGCATTTTAAAACTATTATTTTTCATTTTTAGAATTTCTCTCTGATAAAATTAGTGTTTCTGAGTGGATTAGATACCACAATAACGGAAGCATTTTTTTAAATAAGCCTTCAGTAACATTCTGTTGCCGTTTCTATTTCAAGTCCAATATGTTATAAAATACAACACCATAACGCGTGAAAGAGATGTGTCTCAAAAATCCTTGCACTTCACATAGCTTTGTATGTTCATGCACTGTTGCTGACGGGGGTCGGCAAGCCTCGTCCGCTAGCTGGACTGACGTGGGCTCATAGAGCACATAGCCATAGAGCACATAGCCATAGAGCACAGACACCAATATGAGGATGCAGCAAATGGCGTTTATAGCGCAGTTCAGTCTGCCTATATACTCCAGTACAATGCAGAAACTCACCTACTGCCCAATCAGGAGACTAATTTCTACTTCCTGCCTTGTATGGTATGGGGTTATCAGTAAGTTGCGTATATTAATTATGCTCCCTAACTTCCCGTGACATCGCAAGATCTTCCGAGTGTCATGCCCTATGATCTATTCCCTATGCTATACTACATCATCTACTTATGCTAAGCTCTCTACCTTATTAAGCCCTAAAAAGCATGACAAATTCCCACAATGCACAGATCTATACATACACACACAGAAATACACAGATGACACAGAACGAGCAGGATTCAAAAACCTGTTGTATACCACCAGCAGCATTGTTAAGCACCAAGCTTTGCATTTGTTTAAGCCCATCAAAGGGATTTCAGAAGTGTCACTGATGGCCTACCAGTAGTTTAGCCTACAGGATCTGCATTATGGTGAAAGAAAAGCATCCAGCTTTACAAGACCAAGACCCCAGTTGAGTTCATATGGCTGCTGACTAGAATGGAGACAACATTCTACTTTAAATGGCATCCAATAGAGAAATCTTTGTCAATACATACAATTATTATATTTATATTTATACTCATACCAATTTTATTGGGAGCTAATTCTGAAAAAGAGTTAAGTTACTGTTCCCATTTGCTCACTGCTATTAAACTGAAGGGCATAAATACATAAATCCTGACTTCAGTAGAAATAAAGCAGCATGAAAAGGTGCAAATCCTTAGATTGAGATTTGTAGATATGTTATCTTAATTGCCTCAATAAATCCATAAGGGGCACAGTATCTCTACATGACAGTGACAAGCTAGCATAAGAGTTTAACTCCCTACTCTGCGTATTGAAAAGAGCTGTTCTCGCGAAAGTTGGTTGCAGCAGTGTGGCTAATGGTGACATTTTTTTCAGAGTTATAGGTGATTTTCATAGTTTCCTAGCACTTGAGCTTGGAATAGATAGCATATATTTTACTAGACAAATTACATATTTTTATTTTTATCATATCTATTTTTATCATAATACATTTATCTTGATAATGTTTATATTTAGGTGAACAACATGGATTAGGCAAAACAAGTTCAGTCTTGAGTTTGTGAGGTTATTACCAAAAGACCAGCGATGCTTCTGATCAGGCTTTAACAATGTTCAATAGAAGCACAATATTTCTTGCAGTGCAGTGATTCTCCTAGATATTTTGGGATAAGTAGCCCATGAAACAACACTGGATCAATCCAGGGGGTTTGTGGTGGTCACCATACCTGCACTCCACATTGCATTCCCTACTATCAGCAGACAACAAGGGTGAGATCTTCACAGGTGAAGACTTCCACAGAGATGAATATTCAACTATGTGCATTGGACCTGAGTGCTCAATCTAAGCAGGATTATCAAAGGGTGGGCGAGCGGACAGCACCTAGTCACCACAAAAGCCTTTGAGCACGCCTGTCTCTACGCAGCAGAGGGCAGTGGCACTCATACCCTAGCAGATCTTCTCTAGAATGTATCAAACACGATTTTAAGCGAAGCATCTTAACCCACAAGAACAAGCAAAATCTCTCTTCCTTATGAAAGATGAGGTCTGTGCCAAGGTGTGTTGTCAGTGTTGCATGTTTTGTTCAAGACAATTTTATCACCTGTCAATCATGTGACATCACTTCCTTTGCCTTATAATCTAAACAACAGATAAGAATTACAAAAGATCACAAACAAGAACAAAATCAAATTTTAGCAGAAGTGATCAGAGTTTTGGAAAATTATAAACACATAAAAAAATAATAATGGACACTTGTAACATCTGCAACTACAACAGATACTATGAAATGTCTACTGAAATAACATGTACTTGGATCCATAAATGATACTGACAATACTGACATCATCTCAAGCTATTTCTACAAGCAGAAGAAAAATCTTGGAGTAGCTTGAAAAAAAAAAAACAACATAAAAGCATATGCTCCCTTGCTTCACTGCTAACCGATTGCCTAGTCGGATGCTCAATGAACCTTTTCTGAGTTGGCTTATGGACTTCTGGGCTGTCCTATCACTGTGGTAGTGCAGGGAAAAGAAGGCTGGAAACTGGGTGGAGGGCCTGGAACCTATATTTTACAAGCAGTCTCCACCCTGATCTGATGTTGAGTAATGCTCAAGAAGCTATACTATAGGGTAAGGGAGAAAGGGGCCCCTCTTTGCTGGCTTTCCCCTTGGCAGGTTTTGAGCATGCCCATGTGGTTGCACAGCCTGGTTGGAGTGAAGGCAACTGTAGTCTCAGCTTTGCCTTGTGGCATGGAGAGCACTCTGAAAAGTTACTACATTCAACTTAAGAATCTTGGCCACATTTAAGAATTCATTTTTTTTTGACTGAAGAAAGGCAATAGCCCAAGCCAAAGCAGCCAAACATTTCCAGTTTAAAATAATTCAAACAGAGAAGAGAGATGATGATCAAATCCAAAACAAATTTGGAAACTATCCACATGATAGGGTTTATATATATATATAAAATATATATAAAATAAAAAAATATATATACACAATTCTTTTAGAAGCTTGTGTCAAACAGTTCAAAACTACTTGTTATTTTTCTTCTTCTCTTGTGGGGAATCTGATAACTTTCAGTTCAATGTTCTTTGAACAGCCAGGGAATATTTTAAGGGAAAAACATATATGTAAATGGACTGTAAACCCAGGCAAGGCGATAGTTATTCCGTGTCATTCTGAAGTGCAGCGCCAGGGAGTCTCCAGACAAGCCTGCTCTCAGTCCAAATCACCTTTCAATCCAGAAGCACCTTTTTTTTCTTTTTAATCATTAGAGTTCACTTCACTGCAGAGACCAGGGGAAGGACTTTACATGGCTGCAGTACGGCTGCAGACAGGGGAACATGAATTCCATGCTGATTTCCCTGACGTTTATTCAGGTGCCACAAATTAGAAGAGTTATTTAATGTAATGTAACTGCTTTGATCATGAACTGTGGAAAATAAAAGCCACTTCAGTAAGATCAGTTATTGCTCACTGTCCAAATTTGCAAAACTTGTTTGAAAATACACATTTACAATGCTTGGATTACTGCTCAGATTTATTCATTTGTAATATTTTGACTGACTGGCAGGAGAACAGATATAAAAGCATAGCTATAATTTAATACTCGTCATTGTATAATGCTATAACTCCTGCCTAGAGTAACATAAAGCATTATCTATTCTGGAGTTATTCACTTGACATTACTTTATTAAGCCAGCACAAATGCTAACTAAGGCAGTGATGGCAATTTAAAAATAAATTAATTATTTGAAAAGCTCAGCCCTATATCAGGCTTTTTATTTTCCCACCTCATTTGCCTAAGCGTATTCACTTTCATACTCTGCTTCTGGGAATGAACTTTGATTCTCAACCACCTTTTAATCTTTTTCATGGACAGATATCTCTAATAGGTGGATGTTTTATAAGCTAAAATATAAAGCAAGGCTTAGATATTGTGTTGAAAACATAACCAGAAATCAACACAAAACACGAAAACTAAACATTACAGGATACTTGCCTCTAGATGTGTGTATCACAGA